GCAGCCGTCGGACCCAGAAACCCTCTCTAGGTGACGCCGCCCGCCGAAAGAGGGCATGATCAATCTCACCGCGATCAGTAATGTAGAGCGCACGATCAATACATTCAAGCGGCCAAACAGCAAAATTGAAGGGAGACTGTTGTCGCATGACRYGATAGAGGTGCCGATGACGATAATCAACAGCAGTATGTCGCACATGCCAGTGCTCCTTCAAACGTTGATGAGCAGTATGGATTGTCTGGCCAACATAGAGACGCCCAGAGGGTATACGCACAACAGCATAAACAACTCCAGTAACAGAAAGCGGATCATTGCCTGGCTGGAGCAGCTGCTGGTCGATACCTCAGTTGTAGTTCAAAGCGTTCAGTTGCAGTGACAGTATGTAGACAGCGCAATTGCTTTTTATGCCATGTTCCCGCGGAATATAAATCAGTATTCCAGCGATAATGGGCAAGCCAGTCAACGCGTTGCCGGTTAGAGAAAGGGGGATTGTGGCCCCGTGAACGAAGAGAAGGAAGCGGTGCTGTGCCTGTCGCGACACCAACAGGAAGAGTCCCGAATGAACTAACCCCCTGATTTATCTGTAATGGTAACGACATGTTTTTGTTAAAGAGAATTATGAAAGTTTTTAATTTTTTGAGTTTTGAAATTTTTTGTTTTTTATTTTTTATTTTTTATTTTTACTCGGTACAGCAAGTGCCCAGGAAAGCAGGACTTTAGGCCCGATGGCTCAGGCCGGGAAACCTGCCATCGTCCTTTCTGCATCCACAGAAAGGTGAGTGGGCATGGGGGCAGCAACCCGGGTTTGGCAGACCTTAGGCTGGCCGTAACTATACCCACTACACGGGAAGGGGGGACAACCCATGTCCTTGCGGTGACCGCCATCACAACAATCCTATATATATCGTCACAAACAGATATATATATCAGCCTCCTGATGAGTCGGTGAAACTCCGACGAAACAGTTTGTCACAGCCCCTCGTTTGTTGTCCTTTTCTCTCTCTCTGCCTACGGTTTACCGGGCAGTTCTGTTTGTGACGAGATATATATATATATATCGTCAAATATATATATATATATATTGTCACACTGAAAATCAGAGCGCGAAGGCGGAAAAGAGCAAAACAAGGAAAGGAAAAGAAGGAAGGAAGGAAAGCCCCACCTGTTCATCACCTCTTACATACACGGCCAGCCACGTGGATGACAGGTTGAGCGCTGGCTGCCCCCATCCCCGTGTGTATATATATTGTCACAAGAATATCAGAGCGCAAAGGCGAAAAAAAGAAAAAGAAAGAAAACAAGAAAAAAACGAATTCCTTTTTTTTTATCTTCTTCCTTATAACTCCCCCTGTTCAGAACCTCTTGCGTACAAGGCCGCCCACGTGGATGTAGGTCGAGCGGGCTGCCCCCACCCTCGTGTGTCATATCGACCCACTTGCACACAGCCAAATATATATATCGTATACATATATAGTCAAACAGAGCTGCCCGGTATATATATAATATATATATTATGTTATATATCGTCACAAACAGATATATATGCCTACGGTTTACCGGGCAGTTCTGTTTGTGACGATATATGTGACGATACATATGACGATATATATCGTCAAATAGAATATATATATCGTCACAAATATATATATATATATTATATACATAATTCTTGAAAGCATCGCTCTTCGGCATCCAAGATGGGGTGTAATTGTTGTGCAAGCCAAACCCCTAGCCAAACATCATCAGCGTGGCCGTAAGGAGAAGCCATAAATCATCAAGATTGCCAAGCTTGCTTAGGGAATGGCCCTGCCACGTGGCAACGGCCGGGGCCTTCCAGGGTGACACTGTTAGGGTTAAGGGGTTAGGGTTTAGCGTTAGACGGGTTGGGGTTGGGCATCAGGGGTAAGCCTGGAGGAGGGAAGCAAGCTTAATTGGGGTGGGTTAGGAGGGTTAGGAGATTAGGGCCCGAGAGGAGGAAGGAGGGTTGAAGTACGAGCGAGCACTTAACATTTCAAGCTAAGGGGGTTAACGCAGTTCCGGTTACAGGATTAGGGTTAAGGGGTTTAACATCGTGGCTTAACGTTAGGGTTAGGGTTAGGGTTAGGGTTAGGGTTAGCGTTAGAGGGGTTAAGGTACGGGAGGTAAGCAAATTTCCGGAGTTCAACCTTTACGGTGGTAATGTAAGGGAGGTGAGATGAATCTTCGAAAACCTGCCCTGTTTTTTCCCCCTTGGTCGAACTTTTTTTTTTCCTCTTTTTTTTTTTTTTTGCCAAACGTCGTCTCAGCAAGGCGCCTTCACGAATCCATCCACCGCTTGGACCAAAAATAATAATAATAATAATAATAATAAAATCCACGGGAGAACATTTCGGGGTCGCCCTGAGTCCTCCTCTCCTCTTTTCGCCCAGCGGTAGATTGGCAAAAAGAAAGGGACAACTGTTCTCCTCCCTCCTATTTTCCATTTTGGCTAACTTCTGGCCATCTCCCCTATATATCCGTTGTGGTCTCCACCACCTTCCTCATGATAGGACAGATGGTTAAGAAAGATAGCACCATTTTTTTTTTCCCCCCCAGCATCTCCTCACGGCTCTTATTCACATACGATAACAAAAAAAATCTCCGAACCACGCACGTGTTCGAATACAAGTACATAGTCTTGTATTCGAACATGTGAGGTTGTATTCGAACATGTGAGGTGAGAGACTATTACAGTATGTACTTGTATTCGAACATGTGCGTGCGCTATTTGGGGGAGGGCAGTTGTGCATGAAGAGGGGGAGCTACTAACTACCGGTAGCTTCCGATTTTTTTTATTTTATTTTTTTTGTTTTGTTTTTGTGTGTGTCTCTTGCCGCCTTCACCCCAACCATGACCCAGGTGAAATTGAGGAGGGAGGGGGGGGGAACCTACCCACCCGCGAACCCGCCCCTCTCTCCCTCTTCCCCCTTCACCTCCCACTTTCACCGTCATCCCATCCAATCTATCAAATGCTCATAATAAAAAAAACTAATAAGAAAAACTAAAAAAAAAACTAATAAAAAAAACTAATTAAAAAAAGTAATAAAAAAAGCTCGAGTAATAAACTCACGGCGCACAGATTTACCCCCCGTTGCTCTCTCTCTGCGTTAGACCCGGACGCACATGGATTTACGTATTGACCTCATTCATGCCTGTCCACGTGTCATAATTCAAGACAGGCCCGTCTTGCATTACCTTTTTGGGCTGTGTTGCTTTTTTTTTTTTTTTTTTTAATATCGTGTGGCCAGATGGACCACGCGGATCAGATGTTAAACTGATCACAACAGATACTACTCCACACTTTATTTTTATTTTTTTATTTTTTTATTTTTTTATTTTTTTAAACAGAACCTTGCTTCTGGCTCCTTTCCATTCTGGGGAGCTGCAGTCGCCAACGACGCTCCATTCTTTTTTTTTTTTTCCTTTTTTTTCACGCTCAAGTCCTTGTTGGACTTATCCTGCCCATGTGTAGCTGTTGGCATAGTTTTTTTTTTTTCCCCTCCCTTTTTTCTTCTTTTTTAGGGGGGGGAAGTTGGTAGAGTGGAATGAACAGATCCCATGAGTTCGAATCCTGATGAAGTCAGACGGATACCGTAATCGATAATATGGTCTGCTTCCTCCTCCTCCCACTCCCAAAACAGAAAAAGAGAAAAGAAAAAGGACTTGCGCGCTTGAATCGAATCTAGGCGGACACAGCTTGCGCAATCTTTTCCCTTATTCCCACCCGTGCCCTTGTCACCCCCCAACAGTACCCCACCCCACACAACAGGCATTGCTCAGTCATGAAGACAATCCTCCTCATTTATACCCACTCTCTCTCTCTCTCTCTCTCTCTCTCTCTCTCTCTCTCTCTCTCTCTCTCTCTCTCTCTCTCTCTC